CACAGTAGATGTACTATTTTAAACTCATTGTGGCTTGTTCTTTAAATCACCTAGCTTAAATCCATATGATTTTAAGTGTTAGATGATTTCAAAGCAAGCCTATTTTGGATAGACAAGACTTGTTTCAGGATAGCAGGATTTGAAAGTCTGTGTATATATACAGTTAAAAGATTTAGAATTAATCTTGACTTGCAGAAATAACTCAATATCCATAATTAACTGGAATAATTAAGTACTTTTCTGGAAGCGTTAAGTTTTTGATCCAGTAAGCTTTATGTGTGCTGAATGTTTCTGTCATTGCACTGGCCCTCAGATAGAACAACTCTTTGTGAAACTAGAAAATGTATAACCTAAAAAAAAAATTAAGTTATGTAATAAGGCCTGATTTTAAGGTGTTGAAATAAATGTAATGCTATATAAGGACTACTCTTCTGTTGGTAGAATAGGGCTTACTCTAAGTGTAGCTTATGTTGCTTTAGAAGCATTTTAAACTAAGCTCAAAAAGCCACTCTCAAACCAGAACAGTTGTTGTCACGAGTCTTAATTACAGATGTAACTACTGTGCTTTGACCACAACAATATTGGAGACAAAGTATTGGGTGACATGGGACTGTGCAGTTTCCACTGAAAGCCACTGAATACTCTTCACCTTTCTATGCAGTGTTTTGTTTTGCGATTTTTTTCCCTCTTTCAGACTAGAGAACCATCCTATCATATTCTGAAGTATTTTTGATTTGTAACATGGAAGGACATCACAACAAAATATATGCGTTACATTTCACGAGGACACCATCTGTCTGTAAGAACAGGTTAATGAAACCACAGCACTGACAAAGAGCACAAACTGTACATGTCACATCACTGAAATTTCTTAGGGTACAATAAATACTATAATTTCTTTTCTCAATGCTATGGTGCAAGATATTCTGTCATAGTACACTGGATTTCAACTTTTAATTTAAAAAAAGTCTGTAAAAGTAAAATACATAGTGTTGTACAAAATATTTCTTTTGGCATTTGTTTGTTTTGTGTTGTCAACTAAAGAAAAGACAGGACAGAAAATAAACAGTAAAAAAAAGTACCTTACCCTCATGAAATGAAGAAGAGTTACTCATGGCAAAGAGATGTAAATAGGAAAAGTTGGATGTTAGATGTGTGGAAAAGAAAGTAAAGGCATCACTGAAAACAGGGAAAAAGAAAACAAAAGAAGTAGAGGAGGAACAAGGAACAGTTCCTCTTAAATAATGTATTCTGAAAGCTAGTTTTCCTTTTTTTTTTTTGCAAAGACATGAACAACAGTAGCAATAGCTGCCATTACATTTACAATCAACAGTGATGTTGTTGAACAGGACTTGCTCTTGTCAGTATAGATTGCAAAATTGTAATCAGTGCTATATTATCATCAAGAAATTTAAATGTCGAGTCAAAGGTCTGCAGAACATGCTAGTGAAATCAAGCCATGTGCTATCATCTACATAAAAATAGCTTGTTATATATGCAACTGACAGAACATTAAACACAGTATTACGTACCACCTCAGCCTTGCTCCAGCACTTGCAACTTTCCTCATCAGTAAAGTTGGGTGAGAATATTTTAAAAGATGTTTTTAAAGGTATGCGCTGTTCTAGTTGGACAACACTGATCCACTGGTGTACTACTACTTAGGGAATAACCAGAAAAAATGCCATTTCTGAAACAAGCTTCTGAAACAATGCTTAACGCACTGATCTAGAACACAATAGAAGTTTGAACGTAGATTCTGCAATTCCCCTCCACATATTACTTCCCAGTTGTTGATGAAATTACTGATTCTGTTGTTGATGATTATGTGTCTGTTTTTTGGGAGATGGCATACGGAAGGTACCTTCTCCTTTGTCACAAAGGTTTTGGTCTCATCATGATAAAGAAAACCTCATCATGATAAAGAAAAGGAACCAACTTAGAAATCCTTGAAAAGGTTTCACAGAATGGAAAACTGCTCTCCATCTGGCTTTAGTGTAGTTTACTTTTATAATAAAAATTGTCTCTCCAGTGCTACTGTGTATCTCTCTGCTTTGAATAGAAGAACAAGAACTTTACACTGGGTACAGGACTGAGAAAGTGACAGCCATTATCCAGCTTAACATTGCTAGTGCAAACAAAGCCAGGACAGTGCTGCAGCATTCCTTTCCAGTCTATGGTTCACCATCACTTCTTAGCATAGGCATGAAATAGGGTGAGACAACTTGCAGCTGACTGCTGCTTTTTCCTCAGTCCTCCCCAAGAGCCAGGGAATGGCACTGGGTCTAATGGAGGAATGAAGAGGAGCCCATTCAGTAACCAGAATGGTCATACACCCAAGCTGCTGCAAAGGCCATTTCACTGCCGTTTTCATCAAAGGCTACTGCTAAGCCCCACTTTGTCTGTCACCTAAGTCCACTCTAATTCTCTATGTAAATTGGGATTACAAAAAAGACATCAAATGGTAGATTTAATCAGATCCATTTTTATTAGGAAGGATGAACCTTGGAGAAGCTGAGGCTGTTGTCCCCACAGAGTGCATGACACTGGGGCAACACTGGTAACAAGGTATCATAGTTAAGTATTAATCTGTACTCACACTGCCCAATCCATCAGTGTTTTGGAATATACTGGATAACTCCAATCACTCATCCATCATTTTTACTAATGACACACTTAGCCACAAGACTTTTCCAACCCATTGTTCTCTTTGTAAATAAAGAAATAAAAATCTAACACATTTATCATAAATCTTCCCAATTACACTCCCCCATATCTGTCCTGAACTCCAAACCTCTTCTTGTAGTAAAATACATTCATCCACTGAGAATTGTTTGGGCTAATTGAGTTTTAAATTATTGCTCTTCCCTCTCTTAAAAGGCTGTTCAATTCTTTAACAATATTTTCCATGAGCCAATAAAAGCCTCCTGAAATTGTTTCATGGTTATGATCTTTGGGTCCACTTTCATTCCAAAGTAATTTTATTTTTTTCTTTTAGTGTTATCCAACAGGCTAGAATGACATGATTTGTCCTTGTAAATGCTATCCTGGTTTGACCCTATCAAGTTATACTTCTGTAAGTATTCACACTGTTTAATCCTTGGGCTCAATAGGTTCCCTTTGTTAGTGGCAACAGGAGGTCATGTGCTCAACCCATGAGTGTAGTTTAGTTTATGTACTCTTGTTGGCTCCTTTTTTGGTATTAAAAAAACCAAACAAAACAAAAAACAGCAACAACAAACCAAACCAACCAAACTGTGCTGTGGAAATTAACAAAAAATAATTATAAATCAAATTTACCACCTAATCTCTTATAGGTCATGAAAAAACACACACACACACAAAAAAGCCACACACAACTAAACCCTCTAAGTTTTCATCCTGATACTGATTCCAAGGAAACTACCACAACAATTTAAAAAAGCCACCCCTATCACACCACTCTATGCTATTTGAAGTCATAACTTTCTCTTTCAAGAAAGCACAGGCTTACATGCTTTGAAGCAAATTTGTAAACATAGGTAATTATTAGGTCAGAAAAAACACACACACACACAAAAAAGCCACACACAACTAAACCCTCTAAGTTTTCATCCTGATACTGATTCCAAGGAAACTACCACAACAATTTAAAAAAGCCACCCCTATCACACCACTCTATGCTATTTGAAGTCACAACTTTCTCTTTCAAGAAAGCACAGGCTTACATGCTTTGAAGCAAATTTGTAAACATAGGTAATAAACATTAAATGGTAGAATTTGACTGCATTTCCATACAATTAATTTATATTAATCTCTTTAGTAAAAATGTTCATGTAATTTATCACAAGCTTCTAACTTGCCTTGTTTATCCCAAATGAAAATCTGGAAAAGACATACCACTTGCTTCTCCAGAAGAATGTTACTATCATAAACCATAGCAACAGCAGAAGGTTAAAAAAAAAAAAAAAAAAAAAAAGAAAAAAGGCAGACATAAGGATGCTGACAAGCTCACAAACCCACGTGAAATCAGCTTAGTATTTTATTCTTACAATTAAAACCCATCTGTAACTTAAAGCTCTGCTTTCAAGTCCAAAGAAAAGGCAGGTCTGACTGTCGAAGGGATACTACTTTACTGAAGTGTTTTACTAATAGAGCAGCCTGGGCAGAAAACCACCACACTGAAATGACATATAACGCTGCCAGCAGAAGGCAGTAATGCTTACACCTTCAGGGTACCCTGGTTCTGCCTTTTACAAAAACAGGTCTCTTTGCCGGCACAGCTGCGACTGCCGCGGGGAGTGACAGCAGCAGCTGTCACCAGCGTGTTTCTAAGTAGAGGCAGAAGATGGCTGTCGTGGCTTTAGCTTACAGCCCTGGGACAAGAGTCACAGCACCTCGCTTTCCGAGTGCCACTCACTGCAGCACCCACCCCAGCAAACACCTCTCCTGCACTGCCAGCTTGAGAAGGAAGGAGAGCGAGAGAAGACAGAAAATTAACCTGCTGATACTCCTTTCCAGGTGATTTCCCAATTAAACTGTTTGTGTTGCAGAAATGGAAATTATTATTTGCAAGAAAAAATTAGACTGCTTTTAACTTTGTGCAGAATTGGATCTCTATTCCTTCCTTTGTGTTGGAAACTGTAAAGATTACTAACTGCACCAAATCCACAATCTTTTGCAGCATTAAAAATATGGTAGCACTAATATTACATCTATTAAGTAAGTCTGCCTTACTATCACTGGCCTTCTCACTTGCTACAGACTTTTAAAAGAAACAACAAAAACCCTCCTATTCCAAGTAGCTCACCATTCCATAGTTCCTTTTATTATTATTATTATTTTAATTTTACCAGAAAACCCCAACAAAATGCAGTCCTGCAGTTAAAATTTCCTATAAATGCACTCACATTCATTGCCAAATCCACAATCTGCCTTTTGGATCATAGCAAAGTCACTAAAAAGCCCCAAAATTACACCATAAATATCTTAGGTAAACTATAAAAAGCACTCTAACTTACCGATGTCATTGCTTCTTTCAGAGGAGTCTTTCTCTAGGGTGCCGGATACTGTACTGCCCACTAATTCCACTTTTGGACTATCACTCCTGCATTTGGATCAAGAAGAAGAGATATTTTATCGGAGTTTTTTGCGTGGGTTGCAGTAAATTGATAGTTAACTTGCAATTAATAGTGAGAGAGTGAAATATTCTTCCTTTGTAGCACCAGAGTAATGGCAATGTGTCAGAGAGAGCAATCTCCAGTAAGTAGACATGCTGTATGGATTAACCTTATCTCATTTCTCCTTAACACCTGTCAAAAAAGCCTATTTTAGACACTGTAGTGCCCTGAATAATTCTTCAGATGTTCACAGCATCTCCGCATGAAGGGAACCTAAGGGCAAGGGGACCTTCTTCACCACCTTATTTGTTTTTTTTCTAATTAATTGGTTTGCATAAAATACAGTAATGGACTATCTAGAATACTGCAGAAAGGGAGAGAAACTCAAGGTAGCATCATGTGTTTCAGCAGTTCTTATTATTTACTCATAAATGCACCTCCTCCACCCCATTTTTGCATGTTGCTTATGAGATTAGACTATGAATGTTGTTCCTGCAGGTCCAAAGAACGAAGACCACCCAGTCTGTCCGAAATGTCTTTGGAATAGGCAAGTGTCAAACGTTGTGATACTTCATACACAGGAACTATTTTTAAATCAAACAGAAGGTCAAACATAAGAAACATGATTATTCTTTATTCATATAACTTTCTATCCCACAACTTCCTAAGTTTACTAAAATAATCTGATTATTCAAACAATTAATTTTAAAAGGGCCAGTAGTAAGCACGTAGCTCAGCATTGCGAAGGTCGCACTGACAAATCCCTGTGACATTTACAGTGATGGTCACTGTTCAATTAATGCAATAAATTGTACTTACCATCATTATCAGGTCCCCTAACAAATATTACACTTTTTCTACAATGACTATTCTCAGCATTGCACTGTAACGATTAGGATGTATGTATGGTACCCAGATTATAGGCAAAAATACAGATCTGTCCCTGAAACAACCTAGGAGATGTGCTTTTCTATAAACAGAAGTAATTAGCCGTCGACACTAAAATGAATAGTGAGCTCCTGACTCTTCCTGATGTTTTTTAATTTGTCTCTGATTTTGATGCCATAAGCTGATGACAGCAGTTTATGAGCAAAACACAAAGCAATTGGAAACCCTATTTCAGACTCCAGGAAGGCTGTGATAATGAGCCTGAAAATTTGTGTTAAAAAACAGGAAGTCACAAATTAAGTGAACATATATCCAGTTAAACACAGCTATCAATATGGCAGGCAGTCTGCATTAGGATGGAAATAAAAGAAATTCAACACAGTCCTTGAAAAAGGTATTAATTGGAGAGATGATAAATCAGGATATTCACCAAGTGACCTACCTGATCTATTAGCTTTTATCTTTTGGACTTGAACTTTTAAAGCAGATTGCTTATCTATTATTAGGAAATCTATAAGAATCAAAAGAGTTTCTTGGCTGACAAGGCAATGAGCATCTGACTGCATACTCTGTTTTGCACATGTTTCCCAGCAAACTGCGAGAACCCATGTGAGTTGGAAGCACTCTAGGAAATGTGTGAGTATGGTTTTGGACGAGATCCTTAGGATCTTAGGCCTGAAAGGAACTTAGGAACTTAGGCCTGAAAGTCACAACATTTACCATTTGACTACAAAAGATACCGAAGTATATGACAACAGCCCCACAGAAAACCCCAAGACTGTAATCAACAAGCTCATTATGCCAATCTACATCCATACTATTGTAAAAGGATTGGAGCCAGCCTTTCCTGGTCCCACCTCCCTCCCTTTGCTTGTGCACATGCAGATAGGCTGTCAGCTTGATCACAGAGATTATCAGGCTGAAATAAGCCCCTCACCAATAGAAATCCCCCTGCAAACTGGTTAATTGCAATCTGCAGCAGCTCCCTGACCCATATGGCTAAATGGCTGTACAAATGCTGGTGCTAAGGAAAGAGAGGCCAGGGGAACAGGCTGCCAGGAGAGGGAACCTGCTCCCATTAGGAGCAGCACAGAGAGATTGGTTTAGACTGATCCTTAAAATGCACTTTCTGTAGATCTTCATGGCTTGCTGCTCCAGAGAACTGACTTGTCTGTAAATTGTTAAATCACAGGTATGCCTAAATGTTTAATGCTTTGAAGCCTTTGGATCAAATTGACAGCTGTTATGTGTCCCACATGGTTTTGTCTCTCCTACAGCCCTTGAAGCTCTAACTTGCCTCCAAGGAAGTAGAATTACATTTAAATGGAAAAAACATCACTACAAAATTCAGTGAGATGCTTAAGATGCAAGCCACTTATTCAGAACAGAAAAAAAAACCTTTTCCGCTCAGCAGCTGCCATGGCAATTTCAAGGGACTCACTTTATAACTAGAGCAATTTTTGCCCCTAGGATCATGTACTGCTTTTGGTTAGGATGGAGTTAATTTTCTTCATAGCAGCCTGCATGGTGCTACAGTTTGGATTTAAGACCAGAACAGTGTTGTTGAAATCCAGAGATTTTAGCTATTGCTGAGCACTGCTTATGGTGTTTCTTTCTCACCACCCCACCAGAGAGCAGGCTGGGGGTGCACAAGAAGCTGGAGGAGACGCAGCCAGGACAGCTGACCCCAACTGTCCAAAGGGATATCCCATGCCATATGATGTCATGCTCAGCAATAAAATCAGCGGGAAGAAGGAAGAGGAGGATGTTCAGAGTTACGTCATTTGCCTTTCCAAGTCACTGTTATGCATGATGAAGCCCAGCGTTCCTGGGGATGGGGGAGCACCTGCCAGCCAATGGGAAGCAGTGAATTAATTCCTTGGTTTACTTTCTTTTGCCTTTCTGATTCTCAACCCTACCCTACCGTGGGGGAGTGAGCAAGCGGCTGCACGGGGCTGAGCTGCAGGCCAGGGTTAAACCATGACAGGCCAGTAAATACTCTGCTAGTTCAATTTTTATTCTAATTGTCTTACATTTTTCAGATTCTGGAAATATATACCAGCTGGTCTTCACAATATTTACTATCTTAATAAAACTGAACTGATTAAAAAACCCAACACCTTTATTGAAGTGACTGCTTCCATCTAAAGTTTCACATTTCTTCAAGTAATTCAAAGTCTACTCCATTATGTGAGCTTTCTCCCCTCTTCCAATAAGACACCCTTACAAGTTAAAGCTTACCAGGCAAAACAGCTATATGAGATAAACCCACTCATTTAAATTAGCTGATAAAGAAATTCAGAGGGAAACTGCTAGCACTGTTATCATCAACAGGCATCATCACCACCTTAAAAACCAACTTTCCTTCTAAGTTTTAATCTAACTGCTGTTAACAAGTAAGATTCTTTCAAATATAATGGTATTAGATAAAACGAACAAAGCATTTTTTCTGTGCTAGACATAACAGAGTTTGTACAATTAAGAATGTAACAGGGTTACTGTTTATATCTGTTTTTTTTTTCACTTTGTTAACATGAAGACTTTTAAAATGCATCGGCTCTTTATACAATTTTGTACTTAGAAAGCAGGAAAACGAGAGCAATAAAACTCCACTCCAAAACTCTAAATGTTTAGAATTTTAATATGGTTAAATATTCCAGGCAGATGATAGAACAAAAGGGTAGCTACCCTATTGCCTGCCTAGCCAGTGAACTGAACACGAGGGTATGTATTGGTCTTACCAAGAAGACATCACTTAGCTAAACCTAAAGGTCAAAAAGCAAATACTTGCTTTTCCAAGCATGCTGAAGTGACCAGCAGATGTGAGCTGCATTTTGGAACAATGGGACAAACATGTTCAAAGCCAAGATGTCCAAAAGAAGCTGCAGCAGCAGCACCTGAATAGAAGGGTAAGTTCTCAGGGATACACAGCCAATGTACTTCAGTAAGATGGAAACAGGCAGCATAAAGCAGGCACCATTTTTTTGTTTCATATGTCTCAGATTTCATAGCAAGTGCATGTTTAATGAACCATATGTGAAGGAATGAGGGGAATCAGTGTCTAGGATTTCCATTTTATTTCAGTTTACCCTATACTCCATTCTGGTATGAGGTAAACTAAAGAAGTCAACATGAGAGCTACCTACTGATGCAAATATTTCTCACATATTCTGTAATGGAAACTATGATATTTCAGTAACTCTGTTCATCAGCAGAAAAGAACTAGTAATGAACAGTCTAGGACTGTTGTTCTTAAGAAGAAAGTTATGATCCAGCCAGATGACTGGAAGGAGCTTTTTTTTGTTGTTACTGTTGTTGTTCTTTAATTACAGTTTACCATGAAATAAACTGTGACATTGACTGTTAAATCTAAATTATTTAAACGTGTGGTTTTTTCCACTAATCCCAAAAGCACTGGCTGGAGGAAAAACAATACCTTGTATGAGTCACAGGCACAACTGGTCTTTCTGGTCGTCTTGGGGGCAAGGTACCAGGTCTATTCACAGAGTTTGCTTTGGGTGGCCGAGGTTTCTTCGGAGGTATAGCAGGAACTGAAGGCTTCTGCAAGTCTAATTGTTTTTGCTCTCTCTCTGATCTTTCTTTAAATCAATTGTTTCCAGAAAAAAAGAACACGGATATTATTAAGTGGAATTCATTTGCACTCACAAGTCTACAATTAAACAAGAAATCTTCAGCTGTTGATACACTATATACAAAGAAAAAGCTTATCTCCTTTCCACTTTTATCCTAAATAATTTTTATTTGAAATAACTTGTTTACCACAAATCAGTTGATTGCCCTGCCTGACTGTTCTACCTGTAATTCCTCATGGATGAAATGTGTGTGCAGTGTCTGAACAGGAGTGCTCTTTTTTATTTTAGTGACTTAGTGATTTCTGTATGTAAAAATAAGAATGGCAATAGATTACATACCATATGGGACAATTTCCCACAGGCACAACTTTTATCAAATTCTAGTATGAAACAATATTAAGTTAGAAGGTCACAAAAATAATTACACTGGATATTCTTAATATCTCTTGAACAAACAAAGAAATACCATTTCGGGGGGGGGGAAAGGGTGTGTTTCCAGTGAACTACAGCTACCTGAAAATAAAACCATTAAAATGTAGCAACGTTTGGCAGAGTGTAACCCCCCTCAGTAAAAGTACCTTTTATTTAGGTTTTTAAGCACAGACTCATTTGCTGAATTTTTCAACTTGCCAGTGAAAATCTGCATAATTTACAGAACTGATTATACATAATTAGGAAGTGCCACAATACTAATATCCAATGCTAAACACATAATGCCTGTGAGTATGTAAAGTACAATACACATCAATAACTCTTGTAAATAATACCCTCTAAAATTCATAAATCAAAACAAACATGTAAACAGTTTGCCACACCCTAGGAAATCTGATTCTTCTTAAAAAGAGGAAAAAACTCCCAAAGGCACCGAAGTTTCACTCTCGGTACCCTACTACGTCAACATCCCACTTCCCTTGACAGCATTGTCGGTGACATGTGACCATTACACTTCTTACACATAAGAGGTATTGGGAATGTTACAGGTTTCAGTTTGAGAGGATCATGGAGTAAAGCCCCAGAAACACAATCCACATTAGAAATGGAATATTCTGGTAAATAGCTGTTGTTCACAGATACATAACCTTTTTCAGTACACTTTCAGTTGATGCAATCATTGGATCCTCTGTAACACCGATGCTTTTCCAGCATATTGTGTTATTTTTAAACACTTACTCCTATGCCAATTTCTATTGTGTCACTGTCCAATAATCTAAACTATGTATGAGGGACGGACTAGGCAGTCTACCAACACACAGAAGAAAGAACATTCCTGTACCACTCATGCTGCCAGGTCACACCAAACAATTTCTGCCACTGTCTGGTACTCCAGAAATGTAGGCATGATTCCTATGGCCTCTTTTTAAGATTTGAAAAGCATTACAGATACTTATAGCCTGGGACAGTAACATATTTAAACTTCCTCCACTGCTTTGACAGTTGGCTTTGTAAATCCAAAAATGGAATGCAAAGGGTTTTATTGCCAAGATAAACAAAAAATGCAGTGCACCTAACTCAAAGTAAACATATGCAGATGAAAGTGCTAAAACACCTGTCAGATGCTAAGACATATATCCAGAAACAGATCTTGGTGAAAAGCCTGAGTCCTGGCACTGAATTATAATTGCATATTATACATTTTGTCATGTGCATACATGTGCCTTTTAAAAGGCTGCAGCCTTGAACACTATAAAAGTTAAAAAATCCCATAAATAACTTGTCTATACAAGCTAATAGTCTACTTAAAACACGGGAACTTGACACCATCTTCAATTAGAGAATCAATATAATTATTTCTCCCAAACTCTTCAGAATGCACAATGAAATCATTTGGTTATCACTGCTCTGTGTGGTGCTGTGCCCCATTTCTTGCTACGTTCCAACCTGGCTTTGAAGACAGAATTTTTTCTTTACTTCAGAGGCTTGCCTGTAACTTTTGTGACTACAACAATGGGGTGATTCATAACCACTCACGACTATATCTTCACAAAACCCCTCTGTGATGCAGAAAAACCACTAACCCTGCTTTTAACTAGAAAATCAAGGCATATAGATGTTTAGAAAAAAAGTGCACACTGATCTGGGGTATCTTACTTGATCAAGGACCTGGGTGTTACTGATCACAGAACTTCAGACAGCATTTCATGTATTGAGAGCATATCTCCCCTTGACTTCAGCTGAGGCCGCAAGTACTTAACAGCCCTGGATTGGTACAGCCTAACACCCTGAACTTAGCAACAATTAGATCCTTTCCAAAATGCTTAACATCACAGATCTCTCAGAGTGGGAAATAAACATCTAAACAGTACACTCAATGAAAGCAGGGACTGGGAAATGAGGATGTGCATGGGTTTTATTTCCTGTCTCTCTGCAGAGAGCAGGCAGGTAAGCACATTTCATACCTTTTTCTTCTGTTCTATTAGGAAGACATTCTGGCCTTTCAGGAGGTACCTTTTTGATTTCATGCTTTCTATCTGTGGTACCTGTCAAAGAAAGGAAATTTTGGAATTCTGCAAAAGACAACAAATCAGCATGTATGGCCATGCAAGATTTAATTATGCAATTTCTTAGGCTTTTTACATCCTCCATTTTGAAAATGTCTTGCTGAAATTAAACATGAATCTAGTTTCAAGTATTTGCATACACCATAATGACAAAAAAGCAATTTGATATTTATGTTTTCACAGTCGAGTTCACACTGCACCTCAAAAGAATAAGCACTTTCAGACCACTTTGTGAAAAAAAAAAATTCAACAATTACAGATTTTTACATATGGACCTTTACCATGGTAGACATACTTAACTGAAAAGCAATTCACCAGTGCAGAGAATCATTAGGAACAAATCGATTAATTGGGCATTTCTGCCAAGCAAATACTTAATTTGGATGAATATACAGGGCTTATTTTGCATTGAGTTCAGCCTCCTCAATTTTTCGTCTCTAGTACTAGCTGTTCACTTCCACATATTAGAAGGATGAGAATAGTAGTACTGACAGTATTCTGCACCACTACTTTAATAGACAGCTTTTGGCCTGAAGGTGTAAGCCTCTGCCTTCTGCTTCTGCAGTAGAGACCTTGGCATACTGACTTCTGTTGCTGCAAGGAACTTGTGGCACCAGCAATGGGAAGATCTTGCAAAAATTTCCTGGCACATGCAAGATGCAATATTCTAGTCCCTGTATTATAAGAAAAGCTTTCATGGATATTGGCTTTGCTTCATTGGCTCACTGGTGCTAATGCCATTTCAACTTAGTAGTGTTGAAAACCGCTTTAGGTAACACTCTTAGTATTCCAATAAAAATTACAGTAGATGACATCCAAGAAAAGCAGAGGAGGCAGGGAAGACAGGATAATTTTTTGCTTCAATCTGTTCTGTTATATGCGGTTCTCAAATAAATTTACATTTTCTGAATGTGCTGTCACAACTCTCTTCTGCAGCTGGTTCCTAGAATTCAGTGCTCATCAGTGCAAACTGCTCATCAGTGTTGATCACCAGCCATTGTTTCTTTATATAACTGTGCTATTGGACAGGCATTGCTTCTATCATTTATCATGTCAATAAATAACACTGAGTTGCCATGCTATGGTGAGATTCAATGATCTTAAGGGTCTTTTCCAACAGAAGTGGTTCTATGATTCTGTGAAAAATAGTTCACTCCTGAGAACAGAAATCATTGCTAGAACCCAATAAAATCCTTCCTAAATACAGGTTATGCAAAGCACAAGTCAACATATTGATAATCTTACACATAATAGTTTGTTCAAGAAATAAAGAGACACAAGTCTATATACCTAATTACACTAAGATTAATGGTCATCATTAACACCAGAGGAACATCCTCAGGCCACATCTAAAACTATGAGCCTAGAAATCCTGAGGATCTCCCAGGCTCAGCTGTACTCCCTACTTGGGTTGTGACCCCCAAATTAATTAGTACCCAGGCAGGCACCATTATCCTGCCTTAGCTGCCAAGAGAAGACAAGGAAGCTCTGGTGAACTCCATACCAGCTCCCAGAAAGACTCAACAGAATATTCTCACCCTCCAGTCTAGACCCAGGTGTATTGCTCATCCCAGCTACCCAGTGAAATGCCTACTGCTTTCCAGTGACTACGTACTGGACTCATGCTCCTAACTTTGGTTCTCCAGTTTTCACCTTACTTTGTAAAGTAGCCCAGCACGGACAGCCCTGGCATTCTACTGCTGTACAGAATTTGGAAGTACAGCCCAACTCCCAGCTACACTACAATACAAACTAGACACCTCCTTTTCATAGGTACCGTTTGTACTACGAAGACAAGTTCTAATTCTCTGTTATGATTTTATGCTCTGTATCAGAAGGTACTGATATTTAATTATTTAAGCTGCAACAGAAAGTTCTCAATTTACTCGTCACACTGTGACTGCCTAAATATGCAGGAACATTACTGGAAATTGTTACCTACTATCAACAGTAAGGCCAGCATGGGGATGTGATAAAATACAGTGTTATCTCAGTAAAGTAATACTTTGACAAACTAGAAGATATCAGAATGGTAAGGCTGATCTTCACTCTAAATATGTATCAGAAGAAAGTCTTGTGGATAATCAGCCAGGACTTGCCAAAGACTGAGTATGAAACACAAAAAACAACAATAGCTTTGGTTTTACCAGAGATGTAGGTGGCCTTGATAAAATTTTCTGCATCCTTTTTGCCACCGTTTTTCCTTCTGAAAATGGGCACATTATCTTCCTATGGTGACACAGCTAATGCGTTGGATGCCAACAGGTACAAAGACTTTGAAGTATTATTCTCTAATTATAGGAGTATAAGTTGCAAGAAACATAAGGTTTCATAGAGCTTTTCCAAAACATATGTCAGGCTGTAAAGTCAGTTGTTGATAAGCCATGTGCAGTATACAGCCACCACTAGATGGCAAAGTTATACTGCTCTCCGGGACACTGTTAGTATTGTTAAAATAAAATCTATGTTTTTAGGAGTCCGAAGACAGAGTGAAGAACAAACCATGGGTGTCAATAAGCAAACCAAATATTTATAGTCATGATTTTGTAGTAAAAAAACTGCTTCACAGACTCAGACTAGTTAAATTATAGCCTACTGATTCACAGTAAATTGTACAGTGGTGTAACTTGTTTTTCTGTTAGAAGATCAAGACTGTAGGAGAGGGAAATTTACTTTTTAAAGCACTGAAACCTGGAACAGACCAGTGTGACAAGAAAAATAATTTGCCTAGACAGGACATGTTCATTTTCTGTTTTTTAATGTGCACCAGCAGTGGGGGAAGTGGCAGTGCTGCTGCAGAATTTTAACAAACCAACAGGAGTTGAGGGATTAAAGAATTCCTGCAATATATTAAAGAATAACTGCAATATAAATGAAAACTCTGAGAGCATCCCATGCCTTGTGATATGTGGTTTTACATAAATGGAACAGGAATTTGGTTTCTAAGGTCAGAAATGTCAAGTGCATAGATACTTTAACTGTTCCTAAGTTTCATGGAAAAAATAAATCCTGTAGGCACTTTCAAAAAAATTCATTGCCAGTTCGTTTTATAACCACAAATAAAAGTGGTTTATGTTCTCAGTATTTATACACAATTCAGTCTAACATATTCCAAAATCAGCTTTACTGGTACTTATCTGTTTGGAAAACATAATCATCCCCTTAACACACTTGCAACACCATTATCTACCAAACCAGATTCAGGGTAACTCCTTTAAGTTTTATACTTACGGCTATGAAACATTGAAAACCAAGAGTTTAACTATGGCATTCAACCTTGAGACAGCCAGCAAACTCCAGCACTCATGCAGCTCTCTAAGACTTAAATTGCAACTCACATGGGGCCACTGTATTGCAGCCAAGTTCTCCGACACTTTCTTATAGATATGCCAAAAAGCTCTGTATCTCTAGAATAAATCAGATCTATAGGTGTAAAGTGAATCCAGCTTCCTCTGGCTAGTATTATTAGACTCCAGCGTATTGATTCTCTACTGGGAAGATGTGCAATCTACTTCAGTCAAGGAATGGAACTGGAGAACTTGTAAAAATTGACATAACATGCTTGCTCCAAATTAACATGTTTAAGGGGCAGAACACATTATTTTTAAATGGTACAGATGGATGCTTGCAATACATTTAAAAAACCCCAAACATTACAGTCTTTCAGGGTTATAATAATTTTGCAATTTGATTCTGATCAAACAGTTGTTGTCTAGACCTCTCGTTTATCAATTTTGATACAGATGAATTCTATATAAATTTGAACATACCTCATTTAGGCTGAGATATGCTCACTTGCATGTGCTGTATAAATCTGGCTGCACCTTACCTGATCCTTGTTTGATGACAGGGGCTGACGGAGGTGGCGGTTTCTTCGGTCTCTACAATTTAAAAGCAGAAGAAAACAAATTGCTTAAAGATGCCTGTAAATCTCATTCCTTCAAAAGCTGCAGTAAATCATACATTGCTTAACGTTAATAATTACAAGACTTGAGACTAAAGATTTGTCACATATTTTCCCCAAAATAACTTAATTGTAATGATTTGAAGAGAGAAATATCATTGACAAATGTTGTTTTTCTACTTTTGCACTTGAAATGTCCTGCAGAGGGGAAAAAAAGTTCAGTTTATGTGTCTTAAGATTAGAGAATTACATTAGCTTTGGTTTACTGAAGAAATGTATTAATTTAAAGTTTAATCATGTAAATATTCCAAATAATTTGAAAAAAACCAAAAACAACCACACACACACAAAAAAGAAACAAAAAAACCCACAACACCAAAAAAACCCCCAAAACACAAAAAACCTCAGCTTGATGTAGCAAAACCGGAAGTGTGTTTTTTCAGATTTATAAATGGGGCAAAAATGCAGAATATAGGAAATGCTGCAAAGGTTATATTTTATTCACTCACGGTGATCCATTCACAGCTCCAATTGTGAAAGACAATTATCAGAGTTTTAGATGTTTGGTGAAATTAAATAAATTATTCCAACCAATCTGTACTTTTTACTTTTACCTACTCTTCTATGACAGTTTTCCAAATAGATCTGCAATGATATGGGTGAGAAACACGACCAGCAAGTCAGTGTCAGAACCATTTCACTTCACCTGAAGGCTACGGAGAAGCAGCTTTCCTTCTGTGTTGATGTGTGTTTATGCACACACACCATACTGGCGTTCACCATATAAATCTTGAAATGAATATAAAAAACAAATGGAACATCATGCTAGATCTTTAAAATAAATCAATAAATACAACTGTTGAGAAGAAAGCCTAAGTAAAAATTAAGAATTTTTTCTTCATATGTCCATCCTTTTTTCTGAGAATAACATTATTTCCTTTGCTACAGATTGCTCACAATCACTGTCACTATATTGCTAGCTATTCAAAACTTCATATTGTCTTATGGAACTATATATAAGTTCATGTTTCAAAGATATGCATAGCTTTGCCAAACCTCGATCAACCAACCACAATATTTTCTATCAAACTCATGTCGCTCTCCCCCTCCCCCCATTATCTTCTACACATCTGCCAAATGGCTCACCTACTTTCAAGAAAGATGAATTGCTTTGCTCATTGCAGTAATTAGTCCAGCCTCTGCCCTAGAACTCTCAAGTCTTAGTCTGAATGTTGACAGGGAACAGAAATGTTTTATGTGAAGGCTGAGCCCTTGCCACTCACCCTTCCTGGGGAAACTCAAATCTAGCAAATGTGTTCATCTCTGGAGAAAAAAAAAAAATGCCAGTTTTGCACAGACTGTCTAAGCCTAACAATTGAAATCTCTGAAATTGCCATCCTGCAAGCCTCAGGTTTCTCCTACCACCTTATCCTGACCACATCATCTCCTGTCATTAACCTGAGAAAGCTGTGGCCAAGAACTCAGGAAATCAGAATGATCTTCTCTAGCCTGATTGCTGTGGGCCACCCTCCATAAACAGTGAGGCCCTTATACTCTCAGAGACACTTCTGCAAGAACTTAGGCAACACAGTTCAAGGTCTAAATGCAGAAAAGTGCAGAAAAATGTGTAAAGAAAGGGACAATGGATGTCTTGTGAGAGCAGCTGGGGGTTTGGTTGATAATGGCTGCAGAGTGAATAGCTGGTGCTGAGGATCCAACAGCACAATATACATTTTTGGGGTTTTGTTCTGGAGTGGTGGGAGCCTGCTTCCATTGACTGTCCATATGTCAGCAGTTGGAATGAGGTGCACTCCTTTACAATATCTTTTGGCTTAGTTATTATCCTACAGGAGCCTAGTCCATGTTCCCCAAGATCTGTCTTTGAGGCAAACCAAAACATAGGAAGTACAGATGGACAAGTGAGAGATGCACTACAAATCCCACTCCTGATTAAAACTGAAACATTAATGTAGATAAACACAAAGGAGAAAGGATCATATGCTACATTAAACAAACTGGCTTTAACTGGATGCTGATGAGGGAAATGTATTGTTTCAAAAAGGCAGACAATAATCAGAAAGGAGGTAGTATGGAGGAGCCTTAAGACTGCTGAAGGATATATGGAGAAGAAAGGAGGAATTACAAGGGTCTGTGGCTGGGCAAGGTAACTGAGAAAGTGATGGAGACAGACTAGAAGTGAAGCCAACAGAAGGAAAACCAGGACCGGTTGGACAAACTACAGAGCAGGGATAATGTGTGAGAGGGGAGAGCAAAACAAGCAGGATCAAGAAATTTGATGTAGGGATAGAAAGTAAATCCAGATGGTGATTTAGAGTCAGGTAGTAAGCTCAGGGGAAATCCTGTAATTGATACAACCTGAGAGGTGGAGACTGGGACTAGAAAAGGCCTGGGACAAATAGCCATGTGTGGAAAAGAATCAGGATTGGAAAACTGGTGACTGAACGAGGAAACAGGAAAAGATACCAAGCTTTTGTTCAACAAGCAGAAGAACTAATGCAACAAATACTTTCAGATGGAATCCAAGGTTTCTGGATCACATCAGAAAATACCTGACAAGAAACACTGGAAAAGTATCCGTTTCCTTCCCTTTTAGCACTGACTCAAGCAAAGACAGGCAGCCTATAGTCCTAGCAGTTACTTACTCAACTGTGCCATTTTAAAAATTAATAAAATCTTATTCTCCAGATCTAAGGCAAACCTAGCTGCACTTTCTGAGTGTCTGAATATTTAATGTATTCTACAAGTTATATTCATTGTACTCTGAAAAAAACCCACATATAAAGATATATAAATTTTAAATTCAAAAAGACTGAATACGTTTCACCACAAAAAATGGGTAAGAGTGAAGACTTTTTTATTCTATAACAGGCTCACTAGGTCTTAAGGTTTATGACTTCTGCCTTTTCTGGAAATCACCTTGTTTTATTACTAGGCCTACAGCCAGGATATCCAGTTTTCTATGGAGTTATGTTTTTGCTGCTTTTCTACCTGCATTTTCAAGAATTATCTTGTTAGCTTTTATGAGTTGTTTAATAGTTGCTTTATTAAGCCTTCCAAGTTATTTAATTTTTGCCTCTGGCATCCATTTTTATTGCCAAAAATTGAAGCTGAGTGTCACTAAGTCTCAGTTTTATCAAAGAAGGTTTACATTGCCATTGTGAAATACTCATCAAAAGCCTGATGGCAAGTTCGTAATATCCCACTGATGCCTGAAAAGGTTCCTAAAAATGGGATGTACTTTTGGGGGAAGCAGTACATTACTTTACTCCAGGAAGCTGCAGAATTTGTAAATACTGCCTGGGAAGTTGCCTCTTTCAAATAAATAGAAGCTGAAAAAAGTTCTGCATAGATTTTATACTTTCTTTTATAATTCTGAGAGAGGTAAAGACACATGCATCTGAGATACCAAAAGCTTGCTGCTGTCTTTCCAATCTCACAGATCAAATTTCACTCTTTTCATTCTGGAAGAGTGCTTGGCTGCTGTTAATCAGCATGCAGGTGGTGTGCTGATTTTTCATATTCCGCCACAAAAAACAATGGAGAAAAGCTAACAATTCTGGTCATCATTGCAATACCTAACTCAGCAAAGGACTCTGGGACTTGTAATTCCTCTCTCTCAAACCTAGAACACAGGACAGACAGCTTTCAGATGGATGCTTTGTAACCCCAGAAATTTATTTTCTTTAACCTTTTTTGTTATTAAGTTAGAAGTAAAACTGTCAAAATCACATATCCAAAATAATTCCTTTCAACTCTCCTTTCATTCTGTATTACAATGCAAAAAATGAAAAAATACATTGCTTACCTCTTTTTCAAAATCAGAAGGAAGAAGCTTGACAAAGTTATCTGGAAATACACCTCGTCTGCCATTGAGTTCTCCTTCCCACCAACCCACATCAATGCAATCCTACAAAACAGTAAAAGAAAATGAAAACCACAATGTGCTAGTGTTCTGAAAAGGTTTGTGTGCTGAAGTGCTCTTTTGCATGATGTGCCTTTTTGCTAGGACATAACAATTTACTGTAGTCCCAGGTTAACAAGGTAATTTGGTAGATAAAACTTCAGTAATCACCCTGCATTACATTATCACATGGAACTGCTAGGAATAAACAATAAACATTCTGTAAAAGCTCACAAGCCTGCCTGCATCCCAAGTAAAACACCATTTCACCAGTTACTCTACTAAACCAGTAAGCATTTTGAGAATGTCTGATATTATTTCTTTCTGACTTAATTTTCCAGAAAGACAAAAACTTAATTAAATATTATATACCCCAGAAGGTAAAAAAGCTCATTTGTTTCCTGTACTTTCAAGAAAAGCTTGACATATTAGAATTACTTTGGACATTATTAAATTTCATCACAGTCCAATTAAGAAGCCGTTATACACCTCATCAGTATCAAGCATCACCTCCTTCTGCAGCATTTTTGAGCAGCACAACGCAGTGTGTGTAGCAAAACAACACACAGCTAAATGCTCAACAGTAAATGAACTACCATATCAGTGAGTCTAAATGACAAAAAAATAGTACAGCTACTTCAGTAATGAACAATAATAGTAACAGAAGCCACAACCATTTTAGAGAAGGTTAAAATTGTTCCTTAAGTCCTGGATGCTAAGCTTCCAGTTGAGATTTTCCACATCCTGTTTCTCTGAAAGCTGTAGCTAAACCAATTCAGCTGTTTTGCAAAGCACAGTTATGGGAAAGTCACTCAGACAATGCTCTGTCTTAAAACCATTTCAGCCAATTTTAGCACTTGGCTCAGCACCAGGCTGACCAGCCTTTCTTATCCTCTTGAGCAGTAGTGCTAGATCTTCATGTGGCTCAGAGCCAAGCAATAAATATTACACACCTGGGTCACGAGGGTAAGGGAAATCCCAGAATGGATGGTTGGACATGACAAAAACTCATGAGGGATCCCTCCATTCTATGACAGCCAGAGCTAAGTAGAGTGGAGTTTGCTGCTTGGATCCGACATTATCTGGCAACATAAGCCTTAAGCAATCACTGCAGCTTCCACAGCTACAGATCTGAACTGACCAAACCATCTGCACCTACCAGGTATATCCAGCTGTCCTGGTAACAGAGCCACACGGGAATTGCTCAAGAGTGAACATGTTGGATGTTCCTATTCTAACATTTATAATCAAACCCTGTGGAAACTGTTCCAGATTTAATGAAATACCTTGGCTTTTCAAAAACTCACATTTCACCACTGTTCAGAAGAGATCAGTTGAAATTTAGTAGCTGTGTTCCCTGAGTACTTGGTGGTACTGATGTATGACTACAGATCTAGTCTGGGGCATGGTCACTGTTCCAGGTCACATTTTCATGGACTGTCAATCACCCACTGCTGCAGAAACTGAGTGGTTCTTACCCTGCAAAGACTTTCTCCGGGCTGTGGAAAAAAGCATGATAACTGTACAAAGCTGGCTCTTTACAGTCATGTCTCTTCTAGGTTTTCAGTAAAGTGAGAGTAAAAAAGCTGTCCACCTGGTACACCAGAATACAGGGACAAGAAGGAAGAGAGGGATATAGATATAATAAAAGTAGGCAGGAGCAGGCAGGTACTTTAAGAAAAAGGGAGATATAACAATTTGCCCTGATAGGATTTCACAGAGAAAAATGCTAGAAAAATTTGAATGAAGCAAATGCTACAAGCCTCAAATATGCTATGAGGCAATATCCCTCCAGAAACAGCACTGGATCAAGGGGTCCTGAATCTCAACATTCTGTTGGTATGAGAAAATAACTAAAAACACCAATGGAATTGCATGTCTTGGCACAATTTGGTTGTGAAGCTGTATCTGTTGTGCAGTGTATATAAAAGCTCTATGGTAAAAATGTCACACACTCAAAGCAGTCACTCTTGCAGCCATGTGTACAGGGGAACAGAACATTAAAGATTCATTAAAAGACAGATGTGAATTTTTTTTCAAGATGAGTATTCAAAATGCACAAAGACTTAAAATACATCCACCCTGATCTTCTAGGAACAATCATAGCACGGGGTATAGGACAACCATCCGCCGCCAAGTCTCTACCACATGCTTCTCCACTGCTGACTGTCTGCTGGGACAGCTCTACATGGATCAGCAGATGGTGCCCAGCACTGTGCAGGTCCTCCCAGTGCCAGTCCTCCCTGCCCCCCAGTGCCATGCCATGGCACTGCACCACTCTTACCTGCTGCCTGGCACTCTGCTGCCAGCCCTTCCTGCAGCAGGGCAGCTGCCTGCTCCAGACTTCTTCAGCAAAATCCTCCTGCAGTTCATCCCACCCACACATTAATGGTAGCCAAAATTTTAATTTTCGTATTTCAAAGTGGCAAGACTTGTATGATACAAAGTCAGGCTCTCTTACCAGGCAGTGCTCAGGTGTCTGGCTTCCCCCATACCTCCTGCCCCCTCTGCCACCCCCTAATATCATGTGCCCTGCAGGCAGGGCAGGAAAAAGCTCGCTGGTGGTCTCCCCTCTGCCTCCTGTGAGAGGGACCACTGGCCGCCAGGCACTGGGGGCTTCCTGCGGCGCCGTGCAGAGCTCCCGCTGACAGCCAGGGCTTTTGCAGAGCTCACCAGGGAGGACCAGCGCAGTGACAGCTGTGGGATGGGTGGCAAGGAGGAGCAGCACAGCACAGTTTGTCATCTGCTGATCTGCCCAGAATTTCCTGGAGGAGAGCGGGCAGTGTAGGAGCGCCTGGCGGAGAGTTGGTGAGGGGAGAGTTGGCAGCAGAGAGTTGGTTGCAGCAGTTTCTGCTTAGATTGCCCTCACTAATCCAGAAAATTTACAAGATTCTTACAGAGCATGCACATGCTACAAAGGTATGGAGGGAAAAAGTAAGAGGAAATTAGTTATCTCTCTGTCTAGAAGAAAACAGTGGTTTGAATAGGGAAGAGGATCTGCTCAAAAAATCTGAATCTGAATGAGGAAGAAAAGATTGCATAGTAATAATACACATATGCAAAGGAGCCTTATCGACGCATTCTCATTAAATCCTTTGTTTCAGCTGCTACAGGGATGACAGAAGAATGCAAAAGTCTTAGAAATATTATTCACAGTGACTGTACATATTGGTATTTTTCTGTAAGTAATAATGCATAAACACTGGATGATATTTGAAAGATAGCAGACTACCATTAAAGAAGATAATTTATTTTATGGGTTTTGGAGGGGGAGGGGTTTTAGCAATTTTTCTGAGTTAGGCTTTTTATTTAGTTTATTTATTCCATCTCATCTCCTGAGATAGAGTACATGCTAACGACATATGCAACCTGAATAGCCCAGTTTCTTGCATCACATCTGCTTCGGGTGTGTATTTTTTTCCCTTCATATCTCAATATTCTGATGTAATGTGTTCCTGATTTTCAAATGCACTGAACAATTCTTTCATTATTTTTCTGGTTGTTTTCTCTCATGCTTAGTCTGTGTTTTTCTTCCACATTCTCCCTTCTCTTTAGCAGGGTGGCCTTTGCCAAGGACACTTACCTTTTCTAGACCCTTCCAGGAGTAATTTAGGAGATACCTTCCAGTTCTGTTAGATTGTCAAGCCTTTGTTAGGGAGCAGGGCTGATCCTTGACTAGCTGATGGCTTCACAATATCTGCTGTGGGATTACAAGGCTCCATGAATGACTGAGATAATCAGCTAGTCATGCGTGGCACGGGCAGGCACTGTACAAGATTTTACAGTTACTGCAGAGCCACAACCCCTCGTTCCTGATGTGAAGGAGCCCTCCCACTTGCCTCTAACTACTTATGCAGCCTAGAAATCAGTGCACTCAACTGTGCTATCACATGGTGCATTTTATAATGCCCTTCACCCCCTATGTCGCTAATCTGAAATTGCCAAAACATTTATGACCCACTTTAAATTTTGAAAAATATTTAGAATCATTCAAACTACCAGAGATTAAAAGCTTGTGCTTTGACTGATAGCACAGCTCAGTGGCAGATAATAATCCTAACTAAACAACACACGATATTACATACTTTCTTTTTAGATTGGATTTTTTAATGTGCTTAGGAAACACAAATCTTACTCCTACTTCTTCATTTTATTAACTCACATGAATTTCATATTCAGTGCTTTTTTTAAAGCTCATGTGTTTTCATGAAGATGCTGTTTTGTTACACATTTGTTAATCCCAAACAGCTGCAGGTTTGCTTTTTCTTTCAGCTTGTCCCTCAGGCTTACGCAGCCAATCACCACACCGGATTTTCATATAGTAAGTAGCTCTTTAGGCAGTTCCTCTTTAATTTTCTCATTTACTTTACCTGCCAGAGGAAGCTTGTGTGTCACTGGGCAAAAGGATAGAAAGATCTCAGAAATTACAGGCTACGGATGAGATCTGGTGAAGAATCTCAGTGGTGGTGCCCCCGTTACCCACAACTGCAGGTTCACTGTGCCTCAGCAATCTCTGGAAGCCCACGTATGATGTTAGCAGCAGGTAAATCTTCATCAAGAGACACACCACCATACAAGGATCCCTGAGCTACAGCTGCCTCAAGCACTAACAAATGACAGAGCTATGAAGCACAATCAAGGCAACATGATTAAAACAATGTTGCTGCCTGCAAACACTGAGCAAAAGCTACTCCAATACTCCTAGATCACCATCAGCCACACAATCCTATTCATATTGTCTTTTTTAATCTATCTTCACTGTAATTTCAAAATGCAGATTTTATACAAAAGCTGTCAAGCTATTACAATCCAGTATCAATATTGCAAAATTTATTAATGAACCAAGAAGATCTGTGCATTATCCCCATTGTTATCCTATCAGACTCGTACCAATGTAAACAGACAAAAATCAGATGCTGAAATATTCCAAAAGTTCTATGAAAAAAGTTATTTTTCAATTATTAAAAATGCATTTTTGTTTCATTTAAGGAAAAAAAAAACAATAA